ATGACAATATCTAGCTGCAACTTAACATTTCACATCTTGAACTAATGCAACTAAATAGTCAGTAGTTACTGTAAATCATCATGAACCATATCGCTAGCTACTAACTATATTTATTATCACTACAATGTATAAGGTTAGCTACCATATCAAGTAATCCTTTGCCCATAGTTGAGCATAAAAAAGCCAGCAAACAAGATAAATACAAAATTGGGAATTTGAAAAGCTACAAATAGGGATTGTAAAAAAAGGAAACAAGGCTTAAGATACTGTAGACATTATTTACTCAAACTGCAAATCCCTATTTTTGACTCCACCAAATAGGAGTTTGTAGTTTGAGTAAATAATGTCTACAGTATCTCCAGTCTTGTTTCCTTAAAGTTTTTTAAATTCCCAATTTTTTAATAATCTTATTAATACTGATTGACAGATGTTGTAGCTTTTATTTATTTCTGTTATAAGATTAAATTCTGTTTAACAAATCTTGTATCTCATTGAGATGAGCAGAATAATATTTATTAATTCTATTTGCTTTGTAATAATTTCAGTTCCAACTTCCATGTACCATTTTTAGGGATGTTCAAGTAAAAAAACACAGGTGCATTTCTGAATGTAAACTTAGTTGTAACTTACACATACACATCATGGTACTACAGTGTTAATATAAGTGTATTGCACTGCTGTTTTTCAAAATGGATTAGAAATTATGTGACAATATTCATAACAGTCAATTAGTAGTTTTAGTTTCATTTACATAACTTTGGTTCCTGTTATCTAATAGTTGTTTTTAAATGAAAACTTAGTTTCTTAGAAAAAAACGTAAAACAGTTATCTTAAAGTATCTCTAGTATTACTAAGTCCATCAGTGTTTTTATCATTAAACATTTCTTCTAACAGAAAGTACCCACTGACCTTACCTGTATATGATAGAAACCAAAATAAAGTATGTACTTAGATATGTGCAACTTTTGTGGACTTCAGAATCTGTTATAAAACAGTTATCTTAAAGTATATTTAGTGTTACTAAGTCCATCAGTGTTTCTATCATTAAACATTTCTTCTAACAGAAAGTACCCACTGACCTTACCTGTATATGGTAGAAACCGAAATAAAGTATGTACTTAGATATGTGCAATGTTTGTGGACTTCAGCATCTGTTATGAAAGGATATCTATT